ATAATAGTGGGATCTAATGTGTACATTTAAAGAAAATGTCCTAGAAACAGTAAAACGAATGTGAGTGGTTCCCAAAGGACAGAGCAAGGAAAATAATCTAAGCTTCCTACTTTCAAGATTGGCAGATGCAACAATGAGAATCTGGAGCAAAACAAAATTGGCATAAAGTGTCATCGTTTCTCTAAGAAACTTCTGAGAAATCAAACTGTTGGTTTGCCAGCAACCTTTGAAGATTCCATTTATTCAAAGTATCCTATACTTCACAGATTTTTCTCTGTAATTATAGTAAGTAAACTTAGGTAGACTATGTGGTATCCAAAAACAGTAGAAACTTCTTAAAGCCAGAATACATTTCTTCTCTTGTTTTTGTTCTATTAAAGGCTTCCAAAAGAACAACAAAGTTCAGGAAAAGACAGAAGTTCAGAATGAATATGCTGTAAATTCCACTATCTGACCATAATTCAGAAAATGTTGGGACTCAGAATTTTAGATTCCTAATCTTAAGATTTCTCCCCTGCAAAAGGCTGTAAAACCATTTCCTATACCCATATAATGTTAACTCGGGGACAATTCCTTATTTCCCCAACTGAAATAATATCCTTCCTTTTTGGTATCATTTCAAACACAACCAAAAACTACTTTGGAGGAAGTGGGTGTATCACTCCTGGAGTTTTGAGATGTTTCCATAAAAGCAAAAACAACAACAACAAAAAAACCCCACACAACCAAAAGGATTCCATTTTATTCTCTCATAAATAGAATTGGATTTTAAAAAGCTAACCACTGTTACACATATGTGACATATATATGGGGACTGCAAAAGCCAGACAACTGGCAAAAATATGTAACCCATTTTTGCTCCAAAGTTAGCTAGGATCTGTGGGGAAGTAAACAATAGCTTGCAAGCCCCTGAATGTGGTGTCACTCAAAAATGAAAGAGGAATCACACTATGTACATTTAATTTAACAAGTCAAATTACTGCATATGGTGGCCAAAGGAAAAGAAAAAAAACAGGCCAGCGCAGTGGCTCACACCTGTAATCCCAGCACTTTGGGAGGCCAAGGCGGGTGAATCACGAGGTCAGGAATTCAAGATCAGCCTGGCCAACATGATGAAGCCCCATCTCTACTAAAAATACAAAAAAATTGCTGGGTGTAGTGGCGGGCACCTGTAATCCCAGTTACTCAGGAGGCTGAGGCAGGAGAATCGCTTGAACCCGGGAGGCAGAGGTTGTAGTGAGTTTAGATGGTGCCACTGCACTCCAGCCGGGGCAACAGAGTGAGACTCCGTCTCAAAAAAAAAAAAAAAAGATAAAACAGCAACTTAAATAATACCAACAGGATGAGGGCAATGTCTCATCCCTGTAATCCGAGCACTTTGAGAGGCTGAGGCTAGGGGATCACTTGAGCTCAGGAGTTCGGGACCAGCCTGGGCAACAAAGTGAGACCCCCATCTCTACAAAGAGTATAAAAACTTAGCCAGGCATGGTGGTGTGTGCCTGTAGTCCCAGCTACTCAGGAGACTGAGCTGGGAGGATCACTTGAGCCCCAGGAAGTCGAGGCTGCAGCAGTGAGCTGTGATTAGGCCACTGCATTCCAGCATCAGCAACTGAGCAACGCCATGTCTCAAAAAAAAAAAAGAAAAAATCATCATCATCATACCAGCAATTCTGCCTACCACTTTCCACTTTGTAAGCCCATGCTCCAAAAGGAGCCTAACATAAGAAATCACAAACACACCGTTCCCTTGGTTTGTCTTCCTCCTTCAAGCCTCCTCAGTGCAAGTATCTCACAGAGCATCACAACTGTATGCCTTTCAAATATGCTTGTTTGTACAACACAGCTCCTAAAGGTAACCTAACTACTTTATCTGGGGTACAACCAAAACAACGGTAATAAGTTTCAAAACTGAAGGAAAAATCGTCCAAGATGTAGTTAGAAACACGATGCTAATCTCAAACTTGCACCTTCCTAAGGAATGTTTAAGGAGTTTTATCACATACAATGTTTGCCTCACAGGCTGATTTAAAAACCTGACTCCCACATGAGCTATATAGGAAACTGTGCAAGAGGGAAAGGTTTTCACAAATACACACACCCCCCTATGAATTACTGAAGTCCCTGCCCTGTGCTGACCTGCAGTGCAATATGTTCAGATCGCTCCCGTTGACCTACAGTGTAAACTTTCTCCAAAACATATAGCTCCTTATTTACACAGGAAAGCATTGAAGGGCAACTAATGATAAAGCCACCGGAAAGTTTTCTCTGCAAGCAATCAAGGCCTTGCTCGGGAAAAGAAATGTTGAGTCTGATTTTGTTTGTTTAAGCCCAAGTGTACAAGCAAACAATAAACATCACTTCCCTATTCTAGAGGACTGAACAAAGACTTTGCCGTGCGTAAATGAGATAGAAAAGGAAGTGGCAAGTTTGAAGAAATAAATAGCAGCGTTTAAGAGGGTCCTCTCCAAACTACGCTGCCACCATCCTCCGACTATCCTCTATCCCAAACACTGTCTCAAGGCACTGCCCTGGACTGAACCGCAGTTCAAACTTCTTAAAACCACCCTAATGGCCCAGCTCTGTGAGTTGGCTCCTCCACTCACAAAGCAATAGAACAGCAAGAAAAAGTTGCGGGACTGCAAGAACTAAGGAGGAGGAGGCGAGTTGGGGGGGGGGTGGCCCGCAGGGTTCCAAATTCAGGTCCTCTCCGCGACTCAGTCTCCCATCATCATTCTCTTCCCGTTTATCACCATCCTTCCACTTCAAACCACATTCAGTCCTCCTCCTTCTGACACTCCATTTTTCTTTGTTTTGCTTGGTAAAGCAAAGTTAAAATTACGGGCCTTAGGACTAAAAGAACTAAGTTCGAAGCCAGGCCAGGCCACGTAGTAGTTGTGTTCTTGCGTAAGCCACTTAACCTATTTCGTGCCTCAGTTTTCCTGTCTCGTAAAGTGGGTTTGATAGTAGTATGCACCTCAGAGGATTGGAATACAAGTTAAAATGAAGCATATGAGGTGCTTTGTAAAGTCCGCGTACAAATCACTCGAATATTATCGTGCGGCGGTAGCCATTATTATTACTACTCCTTGCTGGGCTTCCTCTCCTCCTCACACACCCTGTCCCTTACACATGCCCCCCACTCCCCTTCCCCCTACAGACCCCCGATGGTCTCTCACTCTCTTTCATCTCACGCTCCACTTTCCGGTAAGCGTAGGCCCGCTTACCGTGACTGGCAGGGCACGCGAAGCGCTGGCTGGCTGGCGAGCTGGCGGGCCGACTCCCCGACGGCGGCGGCGGTCCCTGACCCGGAGCTCTCCTCCCTCTACCCCGGATCCGCTCCTAGAACCGAACGAACCAGTGAGATGGGCGCCCCAGTGCCCAGAGCGGCCTTACGTACCTCCCACCAAACAACAGGACGGCACCACTCTACCCACCCGATCCGCCCGACTCGCCTGCTCTCTAGAGTCACTGTAGACGCGCGCGCGCGCCTGGTCACGCCCGCTCCTCCCCCTTTGCGCGCCCCTGCGACTCCGTGCGTGTTCGCTCTGCTGGTGAGCTCGCGGGAAGCAGCGCGCAGCCGCAGAATCAACAGGGCGCCGCCGAATAGGTGGGGCGCGGCGGCCTCGAAGCACGCTTGCGGAAGACCGCCCTCCCGCGGCTCTCTTCGCGAGATTCGCTGCGCCCGCTCAATTTAATCAAGATCCCTACTCCTCCATTTTGGTCCTCTTTCCGCGCGAACAAGGAAGGGGCGTGGTCTAGAACTAGGCCCCCACCGTGGGCGCGGCCTGGAAAAATCCAAAGGCTGAGAAAATGGCAATGCCCTTCCGAACAAAACCCCCGAATTACCACGCCCCTCCTCCTGGCTTTAAAGGACCGTTAAAATCGTTGGCAGGAAAGGATTTGTGGCGAGGCTGACCGGGAAAGAGGCTGTCCTGGCTTTCGGTTCTAATGGGGACCCCTAGATTCCTCACTCACAAAGCATCTATCTTACGATTCCTTTCTGGCAAACAATTAGTTAGGGGTGGGGCGGCTCTCCAAAGCCGAGTCTGGGTGACGTCCGCCAAGGCCCGCCTCCCTCCCGGCCTCACCGAGCCGGGCGAGGAGCGTTGCCATAGCAACTGGCCCGCCAGGGCCTGCTGAAGTTACAAAGAGGACTGCGCCTCCGGTGGACACAGCGCCTAGCCAGCGCAGGGGTAGCCCGGCTCCAAAACCTTTGCGGACGCGCCAGGGGTTTGCCGGGTTTTAGTGTGGAGACCCACGGGCTCAGGCCTCGCCCAGGAGCTCCTGAGGCCCGTCTACCAGCCACTTGGTTCCCTTTTAATCCTGCTTGAAGAGAGGGCTCTTGGCTGGCGCCCGCCCTGTGCAGCCTGTGACCAGCTGGGGCGCGCCGCTGCCTCGTGTTCTCTGCGGTGGGACGGAAGACAAAGCGCCGGCTTCCAGCACACAGCGTCCGCGGCGGGCCGCCCTCAGCCACTCTCGCCAGCGCTCCGCCCTGGTTCCCGAGACGATGTGGGGGCGGCCGTAAGCACGGTTCTAGTCCTTGTCCCAGATGCTTGTACTTGAGGGGCTGTTGGGAAGCGATCAGCAAATGTACCCCTAGTGACCGAGAGAGGCTCCTACTATTACTCACTTTGCACTTTTAAACATTTCCTCCTAAGGGGATTCTCCAAAATCCTCCTTCCAGTTACTAGGCTGAAAGCCAACTGGCCGTGAGCGGCAATTTCAAACAGGATTCTCAAAGGCTGTTCTCCAGGGAGATGAACTCCTAGCTACAGCCTCCAGGGTCAAGAGCATCAAATGAGCTTTCTGAACTCTGGTCCTCCTCTTCTCCCCTCCAAATGAGTATCTAGCTCCTTATCTACTAAATAAGAATACGAATGGGCTTGTGAAGATTAAGTAGTTAATTGGAAAAACACCCCGCACCAAGGAAGATATAAAAGAGCGTTCAATAAATAGCATGTCTCAGTTTGCTTTCTCTAAAACAGTCGATGTTTATTAGCTCCGCTGCAAGACTAGCCAATGATTAGGTTGAGGAATACACTGATGGAGAACACAAGCTTCCCCCTTCCACCAGTCAGTTCTGTGGGTTTCTAACGTGCGTTCACCCAACTGTAATCAGTCAGGAGACGCTGGCGCTGACAGGCAGGCAGTAGTCACGTGAAAAGCGGCCTCCCCAATCCTTTATTGGAATTTTGTTTTTTCCTGTAGCACTGGGCCTGGGGTGTGCGCTGAAACAAAGAGGAAACACCGTCTCCAGCCCCACCACCACACCCAGAACTGGATGTTCCTTTCTCAAATTATTGAAGATAAACATAAAGGAAACACAGATGTATTTTAGGAGGCGTTGGAGTGTTCCGTTTTGAACAATGGTTATGATGCTGTACTCATGGATATTGCAAAATTAGAACAATTTTCCAGAAGTCACTGCTTCCCAGTCAGAAGCAAGCCCCAAATGAATGAGAGGGTAGTTGGAAAAGAATATATTCAGTGATATCGTTTCATATTTGAGAAGAAAACTCTTGCTATTTGAGATGAGGGTCTTGACACGTTGTCCAGGCTGGTCTTGAATCCTGGGCACCCAGGCTCAAGTAATCCTCCCCACTCAGCCTCCTGAGTACCTGGGATTAAAGGTGCATGCCCCTGCTCCTGGCCCCTATTGTTTTTGAGCTGCAAACTATAGAAAGGTGCGAACAAATCTCAGCTGGGTGAGTATAAGTTTAAGAAAATGAATGAGAAACACTAGTTATAGAATGGGACCCCTTAAGAACCACACAGCTGATGTCTGATAACAGGAAGGCCAATGAAACCTTCCCATTATTCCTAAGTGTAAATAAATGTAATAGGATGTATTTCTTAAAAGTATAATATGTTGGTCGGGCATGGTGGCTCAAGCCTGTAATCCTAGCACTTTGGGAGGCCGAGGCAGGCAGTTCACGAGGTCAGAGATCAAGACCATCCTGGCTAATATGATGAAATCCTGTCTCTACCAAAAATACAAAAAATTAGCCGGGCATCGTGGCCTGGGCCTATAGTCCAGCTACTCAAGAGGCTGAGGCAGGAGAATCACTTGAACCGGGGAGGTGTATGTTGCAGTGATCCGAGATTGCACCACTGCACTGCTGCCTGGGCGACAGAGTGAGATCTTGATCTCAAAAAAAAAGGGGGGGGGGGAAGTATAATATGTCTGTCTAGGAAGATGAAGTCTAAAATATACATTTGGGTTGAAATATTTTTTAAATGGGGAGGAAGGTATTTATAATGCCTTCAAGTTAGTTCCACAATAAGTCACCCTCTGTGCCCACACCTCATAAACCTAACACACCTAGATGCCTGTCAATTGATTCCATTTATAAAGTTTTTTCCCCCCTGAGGCATAGGCAATGTCTGTCACTTTGTATAATGCTGTCTTTTATAGTATTTAAGTTCAACTGAACAATGCACCCAATTGGCTTTATTTCTTTTTTCTTTTTTGAGACAGGGTTTCACCCTGTCACAAGGCTGGAGTACAGTGATTCGATCTTGGCTCGCTGCAACCTCCGCCTCCCAGGTACAAGCAATTCTTGTGCCTCGGCCTCCAGCGTAGCAGGGACTATAGGCGTAGGCCACCACACCGGCTAATTTTTGTATTTTTTGGTAGAGACAAGATTTCACCATGTTGGCTAGGCTGTTCTCAAACTCCTCACCTCAAGTGATCTGCCCACCTAGGCCTCCCAAAATGCTGGGATTACAGGCATGAGCCACCACACCTGGCCTATTTCTTTTCTTTTTTTTCAGTTGAGATTAACTTGATGCTTTTGAAATTGTGTTGTCCCTGCTATTCCTACATAGTAGAAAAATCTTCTGGCTCTTAGAGATTATCAACAGATCATCAAATTCCCCTAAATATAGATCAAGGCTCATGTTTCATGACTAAGCATTTGAGTATGATTTTGATTACAACCAAAAAATCTTTCTGATCTCTGATGATTTCAGGTTTCTGAAGTCATCTGCGGAGGTTGCAGTGGGCTGAGATTGTGCCATTGTGGTGGCTCACACCTGTAATCCCAGCACTTTGGGAGGCCAAGGCAGTCAGAAAAAAAAAAAGAGATTACTTTGACTTCAATGAACATAGAATAAAGGCAGAGACTTTTTGGGTTTTTTTGAGTCAGAGTCTAAGTCTGTCACCCAGGCTGGAGTGTAGTGGCACTGTCTCGGCTCACTATAAACTCCGCCTCCCAGGTTCAAGCGATTCTCCTGCCTCAGCCTCCCAAGTGGCTCGGATTACAAGTGCCTGCCACCATGCCCAGCTAATTTTTGTATTTTTAGTAGAGACAGGGTTTCACCATGTTGACCAGGCTGGTCTTGAACTCCTGACCTTGTGATCCATCCATCTCAGCTTCCCAAAGTGCTGGGATTACAGGTGTAAGCCACTGCACCTGGCCTTTTAAAAAAAAAGTTACACTAAATTTGATAAGATAGCTAGTGTCTCCTAGGCATAGTAAATATGTGGCCTATGGAAATTTTAGGTGACAATTTAGATAATTTTACTAGGTGATTCTGACTGAGAATCAGTTACCACTACATCCTTGGATTACTTTTATTGTGAAAATGTTCAAGGCTCCTAACTGAACACTCAGTATTTTACAAAGAAGAAAGTTGATCTTTGCCTATACATAGCTAAGCAGATGTAAATTTAGGCCAATGGAAAGAGAGCAGGTAAGGACTTAATATAGATAAGAGTAAAACTTATCCTTTGGGGTTCTCTAGGCAGTTCTAAAACACCCTCTTCCATACTCTGTGTGCATGCAACAGACCCATAGTCTCTGATGTTATAGCCAAATCTCAAAAACCTAATTTTTTTATATGACCAACATAGAGAATTTTCTTATGAACTTCTGTAACATTCCATAATGTCCTAGGAGCAGTGGGACCCCAAAGGCTTCAGAATTTCCCTGAAGTTTCCATCCGGATGTGTGTTTGGGGTGGGGGATAAGAAATTCCAAAGAAATTGATAAATAAGATTCTAAATCTCATTCCAAGATCATCAGATGTTAGAACTTGGAGGGGCCTAAGAGATCTACTAATCCACTTCACTCATTTTACAGATGAGGAAACTGAGGCTCAGAGAGGCAGAGGTCACACAGCTGGTGGGTGGCGGTACTGTTTGAACTTACACCTGCATTCTCCCAGGCTCTTAAGGTCTCCCCTCTCTCCTTAAGGTATCTCCAGGCTCTTAAGGTCTGTCCTGAAGATCAACCAGGAGGGTGCTGTGTTACACAGCCTTGAAATAAGAAAGCTGAGCAATTCCTTAAAGGTAGGATGGAGAGGCTGGGCTTGGTGACTCACACCTGTAATCCCAGCACTTTAGGAGGCTGAGAAGGGCAGATCACCTGAAATCAGGAGTTCAAAACCAGCCTAGCCA